AGTTTAGCTTTTGTTTTGATTTTGATTATATCCTTGTATAAACTTTTCGACGACAATAAATTTAATAAACTCAATTTAATAGAAACCAATTTATATTTTTTGTAATATATGTATATGAACTCTTCCATTCAAAAAAATAATTTTTAATTTATTATGTCTTTCGTATATATTGGGTTTCATAAAATAATTGCTGACAATGCTGTAATTTGTACTAATTCTAAGTTCCTCATAGCGCAATACCCGTACAACGCGATAGCCAGCTTCTATAGAACTTTTATTAAATCAACTTTTTTCAGAGTTTTTCAGAGCACGGTTTTCATATTACACGGTTCGTACTCACCGCGTTATCGACTGACTGTATATATGTAATATATATAAAATTCGTGATTTATACTAATTTTGAGTTGCTCATAACACGGTTCTTATACAACGCGATATATGATTTCCATACAACGCACTACGAATAAAAGCTTGAATTGTAAGTTAAATCCAATTTTCTTATATCACGGTCTCCATATTACACTCACCGCGTTATCGGAGAGTTGACTAAATAAATGGTTAATAGATTGATTTTTGTGTTACTTGGTTGCTATAGGTACTGACTTTGCTATCTGATCCTCTGGTTGTATTATATTAGATGATTAACCAAATGGTTCTACTCATTTTAACATATCTGTAGATAGATATAGAGATACAACCAAATTAAGATAAATAATAAAACATATAGTAGGTGCTTATATAAATATGAACTAAGATCTTTTCCTAGCTATCTACACTAGCAAATCTATACCCTCTTCGAAAAATAATACTGAAATTAAACCAAAACCGAAACAGTAGTCCAATTAATTTTGTGGCGGGCATTTGTATAAAGGCATTTTGATATAACATCGTCTCAAACGGAAATTTTATATTATCTGTCTGTCTCTTAATCTGTTTATCCGTTCTTGTTCTAAACTAAGTGGTTGATGATCCTCAAGTTAAATTTATTTATGCGATATAGCATTGGAAGCAGAAGCCGGTAGATTATTTTGCCGGCATATTCAATATATAGTATTGCCTATCAAACACAACATTCAGATGTAAATTTAATAAAGCTTCAATTAAATAATACATTTAATATATTGATAAATTGTATAAAAATTAATAATTATATATCGCACCCCTACAGGAAAAGTGACACAGCTCAAAATGTGTCAGGTGTCACTTTTTGTACGCATTTTAATGCAATTACATTAATTTTATACCCTAAAAAAACCTTAAGTTATTTTTTTATCTATAATATAAAAATGAATTGCAAAATGTGTTGGTAAGCGCATAACTCAACAACGCCTGGACCAATTTGGCCAATTTGTTTTTTAAAATGTTTGTTGAAGTCCAAGGATGGTTCTTACGGCGAGAAATAATCAAATAATTGCCGGAAAACCCCTAAAAACAGCGTTTTCGTTTTCACATATGAACGTTTTTAAACTATGAGTAAAGTTTATGACCCATAATAACTGAAATTTTGATAGATCGAGAGTGATAGGAAAAATAGGAAAAACCAAGTTGGCTTTTGGAACCAGTCAGTGAGTATGAAATTTTACTTTCTAATAATTTTTAAGTCTAGGAAAATAATAGAGTTACTAACCTCAAGTTGACAAGTGAACTGCAAATGATAGTTAAACAAATTAAAGGAATTTAAAGTGTGTGATACATAATTCTTATCTAAACACAAGAGAATTTCATCAACATATCTATAGTAAAAATAAGATTGAAGATGAGTCAAAACGTAGTTTTCTAGAATATGTAATATTAAATTTTTAACTTATTGGTAAATATCAGTATAGGTTATTAAAAAAAAACTAGAACTTTTGAATTGTAGACATGGGTACAGTACAACGTCTGTCGGGTCATCTAGTAATAAAATAAAATAAAAATATAGAGACACAATTCAAAATGGGGACGAGTTTTGGGGGTTCTGTATGCTATAAAGTGTAGATTGCAAATTTTAAATCCAAAACACAATACTAAGGCACTGCCGCTGATATGATTTGCATTTGATTCAAAGTCTGTATTTAATATTTTGACTTGTTAACTTCTCGTAGGATATAGTAATCGCAAAATTGGCATACCTTTAAAAAATAGATGATGTGCGTTGTATGTGTGTTTGCATGCGTATGTGTGTGTGTGCGAATACAAATTTATGTCGACGATTTCAATCGATTTGAATAATTCAAAATCGAATTCGTGGGAATTTATGGGAAGGTGTGCTGATTAATTTTTGGCAAAGGTAGGTCCGGTCGTTTTGTAGATGCGGGTCAAAAAGTGCAAGAATGTTGATTCAGTTTTTGAGATGATGAAACACCCGATTTGAATGATTCAAAGACATTCTACTCGTTTTGACGAAATATTTTATTGATTTTTTTCCTCGAATATTTAATTCTGGGACGAGTAGTGTAAACAATTTGCCATGCACCACTAGTTTGTATTTGATTTGTATACTTGTTTTTTTTTATGAAATAATGCTTGCCTTTTTAAAAAAATTTAATTCGAATTTTGGAACACACTGATGTTGGTTTTCGAACATTTGCCCAGAGAAATCGCATTTCCCTCTATCGGTTATGTCCTGCTGGATTAGTCACGCACTGTGGTAGTGCAATGGGTTCAACGCTACGATATTTGTTCTAAGCTAATATAGGATGGCAAGTTTATCGTTTCACTTCGTTGATGTTGTAAAAAATAGTACTCTATACAATTATTTTTTTATATTAGTAAAGCATTGTTTGCTATGTATGTAGAACGTCTCCATATTTAATTTTAAATTATATTTATGAAGAAAATCAAAGAACCTTGTTTTTAGTGAAGATTCAAAAGCCAAGCTTGTCGCTTGGAGCATATGCTCAAGGATGGCGCGAATATTTTAGAATATGTTTAATTTTCTATATAGGATTGATTTGTTATAAAAAATGTCTAATTCGCTGCAATTTTTTACGTTAATATATTAACCATAACTTTCTGTACTCAACTTTTTACATTTAACTATTTTACTAATTGTATTATAATGCTCATTTTATCAATATGCTATGACTTACGGAGATACTTACCCACAATAACAATTACTAATAATTTAATTGAATTGGTTTGGGATTTTAAATTAATATAGGTTATACCTGTAAATAAGGACTGATTAGAGTCTGTAGCGTATTACAAAATAAAGTGCTTAGTAACTTAAAACAAATTCTATAAGAATAATAAGCTTTTAAAAAATATTGTATTGTAAATAATTCTAATTGTAATTAATTGAATGTCATGGTATCAGTTCAATTAGAACTGTATTGTTTAATATTAAATTTTATCTTTTATATTAAATTAAAATTTACGATTTATTATTTCTCAATTTTTTTTAATAGGCAATTTCAAATAAATCCTAATTATAAAAAAATCCTGAACAAAATATGCAAGTTAAATACATTTACTCTTTGTAAATGTTTATGACTTTATACATATAATTAATAAAATATCGCCAGTTTGAAAAAACATAATTGGACTTCATAGAATTTAATGTTCAATATATTTTTTTTCTAAAAATTTCAAAAGACTACTAGACGCTCCAAGATTTTTCTTATATTTTTAAAATATGACGATTTGTATTAGGTTCAATTAATAAAAATCGAAATATTAATATTAAACATAACTGTTAAAAATATAATATTTAACTTGGTAGTGATCAGTAATGTAAATTTGGGTAAGATTACTCCAGATAATACTAATTTGAAACAAAGTTAAGTTTGAAAATTTCTTCGAGTGGTAATAAGCATCTTAGGGATAGGAATAAATATAAAAAATCCAGTTCAATAGCGAATTTTGTGTATTTATACAGCTCTTTACTTGATAGCAAGTGGTATCTGTACATTACGAACTCTTATATATAATTTTAATATATACAATTTAATATAGTAACATCAACATATTGTTTAATTATTTATCAGCAAATTTGAAAGATGTGGTATGGACAGAACATAAAAGAACAATGTTATTTTTATGATTATGAATATTATTCATGCATAAAAGTTTTGCCCAATTTGAAATTTTATATACATTGAAATATGTAATTTATCAGAATTTATTGTACAAGTAGAAAATGCAAAGTGTACGAGTTAAATGAAATCATTTTGTTCAAGTGCTGAGAAATAATTAAATGGGCGCAAATTGTTCCCTTGTTTCAAAATTTTCATTAAATACATAATTAAAATTCTTATAAATTTTACAAATTTTTGCTTCTATTTTCTAGCAACTATCTTCTTATAATGTAATTAAAAATAATCATTATATTGTTATAACTATTCTAGTAGTATACTCAATTCTCATATAAATATTTTTTGATCTTAAATATTAAAGAACTGAGAAGTAAACACAAACTATTTTGACCAAGGCTACAAAGAAATATATAAAATACAAAGATCATAAAAGAACATGGTAATATTTATTGTAAATTATAACAAATAACTTTAATTTAACATTTATAAATTATATTGCAACTTCACGAATTTAAGTTATAACAATGTAATTATTTCTTTATGTTTAAATTACTTTTATTGTTTAAATATATTATTTAACAGCTCATATATGCACGATTGTCTTTTATATGAAAACTAAGCTATAATAGCATACATTTTCAAATGTCATAGGACAATTTGCCAAACCAATTTATGAAAATATTCCGTTAGAGTCAATAAAACTTTAATTCTCCAACATAGTTATTCTGCATTTACACAATACACTTTGATGACGTTATGTTTAAATGTGCAGCAAAAGCACATCTATAAATTGTAAATCAAATTAAATAATACACACGTAACTATAACTAGTTAAAGATATAAGGTAAACAATTATTTAATATCATACAATCTTGAATAAGTTCTAATATTGCTTCGTATTAACTAAATTGTTCGACGCACCTCACACTGTATTCAAATTTACATGGTTTTAAAATAGTCATCTATTTCGAATGACGGTTCTGCTCAGCTCAACTGATAGTACTCAGGTGCGAAATCGTTTGCTAGATTGCTAAGAAAATTGAAATCGGAAGAACTATTACTGTTTTCCGTCGGCTGTCCTTGTCCCGTTTCATAAAAATGTTGGAACGCGTTGTAGCTATCGGCCGTTGCGTCCGAGGAGGAGGCTCCGTGGGCTGTGTAGGTCCCGTCGACGTGGGCCGCGTGCGGCGTGTGCGTCGATCCGTAGACCTCTTGTTGCGCCGCGTAGCCGTCGGTGTAATCGGTTATGGCTGGTTTGTTGTGGGCCGCTGCCATTTGCTCCGCGGTGTAATAGCCGTGCTCCATCGGATGATCTTCCACGTATACACCAACCGCCGCACCGCTTTGGTAGTAATGCACGGCGTGGTGATGGTGATGGTGGTATTGTCCGTGGCCATGTCCATGCCCGTGCTCAGCTGTATCATGCACAGCGTACTGGCCTCCATATTGATGAGGATATTCTTGCTGCTGTTGAGCATGCTGCGGCGCTTGTTGGGTTTGCGACGTGTGCTGCTGCTGTTGCGTCTGGCATTTGCTGTTATAATTTCCGTAGTTATATCCGTACTGTGCCGCTGCCGCGGCGGCCGATACGTAATTTCTCTGTTGGCCACGCATTCGTTGAGCCTGCTGCTGCGTTCGTGCATACGCTTCTGCAGCGGCCGAAGGCAGCAATTGCTCCGGAGTTGCGTTCATCGCGTAGCCCTCCGCCGGTGAATAGCAGCCTTGAGTCTGCGATTGATGCTGCGCCAGTACGGGCGCAGTGGGTTTAACGCGGTATTGATGCTGCGCTAAGGCATCTGGATGGTATTGTGGAGGCACTGTAGTCGGCGGTTGTTGGACATAACCTGCGGATCGCATACCAGGGGGATTTACGTATTGAGATATTCTTTGAATGGGATACATAGCAGAGTTTCGAGATTTTGTTGTAATCTCTTCTTTGGCGGCGGCCACCGGGGAGTAGTTACCGCGATCGATTTCTGATTTTACTATTGGTTTCTTATTGCGAGTCGTCAGAGGCTCGTCATCTTCTGTCGGTATAGGTTTGGCAACATCAGGTGATCCTGAACTTGATGCGACGCTACTCGCTCCATCGCTATTACTTCGGAACGTCCCAGTTGACGTATTATTGTTATTCGTTGCACTTGGCGTATTGTTGTTGTTGCCTCGCGTTAATGGTCCATTGTCGGAAACGTCGTCCAAATTCACTGGAGGCATTTCGCAACCTTGGCAACTCTTCTTACCACTAGGACCATCGTCATCAGGAAATTTGTCCGAACACAGTTTAGAACTCTTCCCTCCTTCTGACGCAGTTGAGTCTTTATCGTCTCCATCTTCACCTTTACTCAACGTTTGACGTTTGTGCTTCATTCTTCTATTTTGAAACCATACTTTAACCTAGAAAAGAAAACGACATTGAATCACTATTACTTGATTACTTGTTGATCAGCTGTATATACGGCCAATTAATTTTTTATACAATAATTTAATAGTTTAGTAGATGTATTATTGCTTTCAGTTTGAAAATATAATTTCAATTTATTTTCGCACTCACCTGTCTTTCAGTTAAGTCAAGTGATGCTGCAATCTCGATGCGCCTGGGTCGACATAAATATTTGTTGAAGTGAAATTCTTTCTCTAACTCTAGAAGTTGTGTATTAGTGTATGCAGTTCTTAATCTCCTCGGTAAACCATTTTCAGCAACAAAAGAATCAGCTGCAATTAAAAAAAAACAATTAGAGACACAATTATTTATTACAGTGTTGTTCAATATGCAAAGACATACGCAAAACTTTAAAATATCACATGGTGTCGATATTTATAATTATTGGTTGTTGGTGGAGTATTGAGTCGCTAAACTAAATTGAAAATAAATTTACAATACTATTAAATAATTAATTTAACAGCACGAAATTGCTCTATATCTAACGTCATTGCTATAACGCAGAAGTTACTGAAAGTTTATGCATTTGTGATGATTTAATGCGTCTCAGTTGTGAAACTGTCTGCCGGATTCAAGGGATTTCACCGCAACAACTAAACTGAACTTGTTAATTATGTCATTAGCACGTCACCAGGTCGTAACGTGCAGAGAGGGCTCAAACTCGAACATCTTCTGTCAGACTGCGCGTTGCAATGGAATGCAAACTTGAATTATGTTCTCGTTTATCTAGTTCAAGAGAAGTTTCCGAATTCAGGTCTTATGGTAAGACTGACAAATTTATTTTAAAGGAAACATGCACGATTTCATACCGTAATCGGCATATTTTCACTTAGAAATTAACACTACATGAAAAATAGTCAATCTCTTTGTGCAAGGGTAAAACTAAACAGTATAATTTTACTCTTTTCTATTTCACACATGGTAAATATGGTTTTTGTTGAGAAAATGAAATGATTCCTAATGAAAAGTTTGTTTTACCATATTTCTTTATTAAGCTATGAAATTTTTGTTCAATATTATAATAAATCACCCATTTTTTTTTATTTGAACTGAAGTATTCAAGAAATGTGACTTGTGAAATGTGATTTTTTAACTTCCCGTAGGGCAAGTTATAGTAATCGCAAAAAAATCGAAAATGAAAATTTTTATATATCTTTACGTTTCAAAGGTTTCTGAACATTTTGGCATACCTTAGAAAAAATGGATGTATGTGTGTGTGTGTGTATGTGTGTGTATGTGTGTGTGTATGTATGTACGTGTGTGTATGTATGTGCGGATACAAATTTTCGTCGACGATTTCGGGAACACGGATCAACCGATTTGAATAATTTAAAAAACATTTGATTCGTATTGATAAGGAGACGTGCTGATTAGTTTTTGGCGAAGGCAGGTCTAGCCGTTCCGAAAATACGGGGCAAAAAGTGCCGAAACCGGTAACTCAGTTTTTAAGAGAACGGAGCGTCCGATTTAAATAATTCAAAAAACATTTCACTTGTATTGACAAGATGAAGAATCGATAACATTTTCATAAAGGTAGGTCTAGCGGTTTCGGAGATATGGAGGAAAAAGTAAAAAAATGAGCCATTTGGCGGTCAAAAATGATCATCAGACATATGCACATCAAATTATCAGATATTTTATAAAGATTTTAACAATAAGTATACATTTTGTTAACATTTCTATGGGTTCCGTACCAATGCTTATGCGTTAGACAGCGACGCGGCGCTTACGCGCTTTATATTTTGACCCTATGCAGTTAAATCAGTACGATTGTTTTGAAAAAAAAAGTTCAGATCTTCCACAATATGTCAAAATAAAGAAAAAAATTTTTTTTTTCAAAAAAAAAAATTTAATTTTTTTTTTTTTTTCAAATTTTTTTTTTTCAAAAAAAAGTAATTTTTTGTCCATATATATAGTTTCTCAAAAATCTTATTTTTTCAAAATTGTTTTTGAAAAAATTAATAATTTTTAGTACGGGAAGTTCCAGCAATTTGCCTTAAGGCACGATGCCTTAATTGCCTTAAGACAGAATTCCACTTACAGCTAGTTTTCCTTTCTATCGTTACATCTAAGTAGCCTGATGTCAAACAGTAACGATATCGGTTTTCACTTGAAATATAGATAGCAATATGTTTCCAAGTGAAAATAGCCCTCACTTCTCACTCGGCATTGCTGCATTAATAGTGTCATCACTATTACAGATATTGTAACAATCAAATTGATCACACAGCTATGAGAATTTTGTTTAAACTGCAGAACAGTAAATTTATGGACATATGTATTTGGTTCATGAAAGTTTACAATACTTCTACTTCAATACATGCGTCACGACATAAGTACATGCTTTTCTTCTCCGCTATTAAGATGCATAATCATTCCTGTTTTCAATGTTACGAAACAAATCATATAGTCAAAGTCTAATATATGACTTACGTATGAAAATGGCGTGCGGGCGACAGACTGTTCAGATTCGGTAGCGATATTTCATTGAAAGGGAAAGGGGATTTTGCAAAAGTTTACGGGGGCCTCCCGCTGAAAGTTGTCCTTCAAGGTTTCGGCGGTGTAATATTGAAACGGAGTGACAAAGTATACACGCCATATGACGCGTCGCTCGCGTATGGGAGCAGGTGAGATTTAATATTGGATGTTCTATGCATCTCGTAAAGACTTCGCCGCTAGTAACCACACTGTTCTCGACGAGATATTGAAGTTAGGAGACGCTTTCAGATGAATCAAATTCAGACAATACTTTTTTGATACGAATAGAAAACGTAGCTTTTGGCTTGGCTTTATTTTATGATTTTTGGCTTTATTTTTAGATTTGCGTAAAAATGATTTTGCGTCATTTTTTTTATTGACTTTTGTGCTTCAACCGATTTCAGCTACAAGTGAAATGCTACATTGTCTTTTCACTCGTATTAAATTTTTGAGTCGAATTTAACACGAGCTTTTCAAAAATAAGTAGCTGAAAATATCGTGTAATTTTTTATATAATCCGTGATCCTGAAGGGTAGAGCAGGGCTTAAATTCAGCAGGTAAAAAAGTTCCACCACTATTACCTCAAAAACAGGTAAATTGATTTTTTTAGCAATACTATTTTAATGTAGTAGGCGTAAGATGTGTAACCATCTTTAACCTTGATTTATACGACGTTGCTATCAGGATAAAAACGGCCATGTATCAATATTTCTAACAAAAGTATTTTCTGTCGTTGTTAAATTTTTTTCGTTATGAGCGATGTTGTTTAGTTTACGAGATTTTTTATACAATTTTCAAGTATACGTTATTTAATTACTTTATAACATGTATTGTTATTTTCAAGTTAAATTCAACAGTTTTTTATATATCGTCTATAAAAGCTTGAATGTGGTTGTGGTAAGAAGGGCCAACTGATTATTTAGCCTAGCAAAGGTATACACAATAAGAAAATAGCAAATAACAAAATAAATTTAGTTACGTAGTTTTACAAGAGACAATTAATACCTATTCTAACTCTGCTGATAAAATTTGACAAGTTATATACTGTGAGACCCTTGTAAAAAAATCTTTGGGAACTAATTGGATTGACTTTGCTACGGTAATTGTTAGTTAGTTGTTACGCAATGTGATTTTGTATTTTAAAACTATTAAGTCTGAATTTTCTGTAGATTTTTCGTGGTACATTTAAGAATATAATTTAAGTCTTTACTGTGAGCTCATGAAGACCGTCTTAGAGAACTCGCTGTTAAGGCGTCTTAATAAGATGCAGTAGATTGACTCAGCTATGGTAATACACACTGTGATTTATATTTCACAATTTATTCTTGAGTTTTCCACAGTCCGTCGTGATATGTTCGATAATTTACCGAACTTTACTTAACTTTAGCCGTTTTTTGTGAGCTTTTTGATGATTTACTAGAGTGAATTTACTATAGTGATCGATAGTTAGTTTTAATGCAGTGCAATTTTGAATATTACATACTTGAATTATAAAGAAATTGAAAAGATAAAAAATAGGCGACCCCTAAGGGCTCAAATGGTTCCAAATTGATAAAAAACAATTCTCTGAAAGTTTTAGCTCTTAATATTAACTTTTAGATAGTGCGCAATTCAATCAAACTTCGTATGGAAATAGCATGGAAAAAATTTTGAAAACTAAAAAAAAAATTTTAGGTATAACTTAGCGACAAATTAATTAAAAGTGACAATTCGTGTCATTTTTTATTGAAAGTTCAACGCTCTGCAAAATTTTTCAAAATTTACATATTAACGATCACCCTTATGTATATATAAAAATTGTTTCATAATCACTTATACCAAGCACCTCTGCCTGGCTGATATGAAAATATTATGTCAATGAGAAAAAAAAGTAAAGTTGTCTGTTGACGTATTAGATTGTCCTTAATATAGTGGTTATGCACTGTGATTTCATATTATATATACATTTTATTTCTAAAGTTTTCTTCAGGCTATCGTGGTCATTTTATTACTTAAGTTCAGTCTTTCTGTGAGCTCTTAAAGACGTAGGAGATGGCTATGCTTTGGTGATTGTTTGTTAGCTAGCACACTGTGATTTTAAATTTCACATTTTAATCCTGAACTTTTCCACAGCCCGTCGTGGTATGTTTGCGCAATAATAATTGTAAAGTTTCGTAGCGGCGCGTCGCGTCGTCTAGGCGCTAGGCATCCCCATCCGGTGCGTGGCCATGATTGACGTCAGCTCATCAGTATTCCGCGCTCGTGATTGGATAGACGGGGGGGCTGTCAATCAAAAAGTTTCGCATGACTCAAACCCGAAAGCATTTTCTAGAGTCTGTGACATAAACCCTCTTTAGCTCCAATCGTACATCCCTTAATCAAACACACTCGACTGCCGAATCAGACCGAAATCCTCGTGCGCCTTCCAGGGGGTGAAATGTCTTGCTTATCATAATGCATGTCTTTTCAGTTTCCGATTAGGTTTGTATCAATTAGTGGAGGATGAAGTGCATTACTGTGTCGAAGTCGGTGGAGGTTGTATCGAGAATTAAATCTGTGTATCATCTTATAGAATTCTGGTGTATAACAATAAGTGAGGTTACGCCTTTATATACAGTAGGAATTATTTTATTTTATTGATGGACAATATCAACTGCACATTTATATTTAGTATTTATTAAACAGTATCTTCTATATACCTTTATTAATATTTATTTAAAGTGCATTGGCGGCGTTATATCCCTACAATACTGTAGATATTGGCGAAATTGAAGCCCCACTTTTTCTCAGTCAATCAATTGTCAATTCATTGCCAAAAAGAAAAATAAACGTATAATAATAAGGCACATGGCCGCCCGACGCTACTGATAGTGCGTTTTATAA